CTGTGCAGTTTTTCCGGCAGAGAGGGAGAATGACAGAGCCAGGTGGACCTCTGAATCATTGTCATCCACACTGCAATGCGGGACAGGCAGACCGCAGAAGAGGCACACATGTTGAGAATGGCATCAGATGCCTTGCAGAGGGAGCTCCTGGTCTCCTCAGGCAGATCTGCGGTCTCCAGCCTCTTGGACATGCTGTACGCTAACAGCGCCACGTTGTGGTTAGCTGTGGCTGCCTGAAACGCACATTGGTGAGCTCGATTGGAGAGCGTGGTCACCGTCTGGTCGTGTTTCCCAGGAGGGACGGGACGCTGCTCCAACCTGGACAGCTTCGCTCCGAAGGCTTCCGCGAGGCTTGGCTCAAGGGGGTTACCAAGGGAAAGTTCCGCTCGGTGAACCCCTCCACTCTGGTGATGGGAGCGAAAGTGGAGACGGGCGCTCTCAATTTACCAGGACCGGCCGCGGCCTCGTTCCAATAAGATGTCACCGCCGGAAACCGAGGCCAGATGGGATCAGGACGGCGAGCCGGAGTGGAGCCAAACCTTCCCGCTAGATCATCCAATCTGGGCGGGGGGAGGGAGAGAACGGAATGTCCCTTCATGTCAGCAGCTTCCCGGATAATGTCGAGCAACTCCGAGAGGAGAGCGCCGATGGCAGGGAGCGATGTGGCCGTTGAGGCGGGAAAGCCCGGAGGGGTCGAGCATCCGCTCGGCCCCCCTTGTTCCAACACTACGCTCTCCGGGAGGGAGCGAGCATCGGGGCTGCTGCTGACGTCGTCTGTCCCAGAGGAACCATCCGATTCGCTCCGAGAGCCGGCGTCAAAGAAGTCGATCGCATCGTCCACCAAACAGTCTCCCACCACGGACAGGCAGTCCTCGACGTTAGCCTTAAGCAAGGCTGCTCTCCTCTGCGTTTCCTCCGGAGGAAGGTTGTCACAGAGGCGGCAGGAGGAAGCACAGGCGATGTGGCGGGGACCCAGGCATCCCTCGCAGGTGTCGTGCCGGTCGAAGCTGAGCAAGTGACCGGTCTTGCAGGACGGACACAAGCGGATGGTGTTGGAGCTGGACATCTTGTAGAAAGTCAGTGCTATTAGCTTGCTGAAGAAAATTGGTAGCCGATTACCCGCTCTTAACATAACTTATACGGACCAGGTGGGGCCCACACAACAGATGGGCGTGGACTAAACTTTTCAGTGTGATGCTTCGCATGACGGGATAAAACCCACTAAGCGACAGCTCTTAAAGGGCGAAGCCTATATGAAATAGAACTATTTTCTCCAGGATCTTGTAAAGAAAGACGAAAAGTTTCTACATTTTTTTGTTTTGCCCTTTTTTTTTTTTTTTTTTTAATGTCCAGAGGACCAGATTTAACTTTTTTAGATAAAACTGACAGAGTTTGTCTTTTTTTTTTTTTTTTGTCTTTTGGCTCTGGCGGCCATCTTGAATCAGTTGTGAATTATTCTCTTCTGTATGTTTCATTAAAAATGTCCAATGGTTCATGAAAATTTTTGCTGACAGACAAACACACAAATCCACACACACATAGATGTAGATGAACATATGCTGTATATATTCATAAATTAAACGGATTCTTTCATTTTTCTGGACTGAATAATGACGTGCATTGAATTTAATTAAATGTGGACGGAAACGTGTTTATCTTTGACTCACCAACGACAGTGGGTCATTTATTTAAAAACGATTTAAACACATCACACATTTACATTAATTTGGCAAAATGATTTCAACAACAACATGGCTAATTTAGCAAGCTGTACAATTTGATTAACCATACGGCGATGGTTGAAAACTTCACAACAGACATTTCTAAAAATATCTGGAATGATTTCTAGCAGATAGAAGAGTTTAAAGATGGAAATTGAAGTTTAAGTTGAGAGAAAGGATGGATGAGGGAAATGTGTGTGTGTCGGCATCAGAACGGCACTCTCCGGTGAGTTCCCAGCTTCTTCCCCGGTACACTTAGGTGGTATAAATCAACTCTTTTACCTGGAGGAGGTGATTCCACTGGTACGGAGTTCCATTTAACGCACCCTTTCAGCGTCTCCGTAGGAACAGCTGTGAATCGTCCGAAGTAGTGACGGTATTCCGTCCGACACAGGTTCACCTCTCGGTGGACTCACATGAGTGGAGTCCGTCAGAAGTTCCACTCAGATGTGGAAGATTGCATAATTCCCACAAGACTCGAAGAGCTCTGGATCATGCCTGGACTTCTGGTCTCCCAGCACTGGAGCGGCAAACGACTGAAGCCCTGCAACCTCTCCACCCAACTCGACTGGTTTGAACTAGGAAGTACCGACATTTAAAGAGCTCTATTTCCGGTTCATTTGGGAGGTTCCTGATTGGTCAAAATCGACCAGACAGGGTGTGTTTTTGTGACGTAAGAGGTCACTAGGAGTCAGAAAAACAGAAAGTGTTTTGGAACAGATTGAAAATGTTTTTAGAGACAGAGAGAGGAATATTTAGGCGAGTTGGGGGAAAACAGGTGCCAGCCTCTATATTTACGTCTGAGAGGATTTAAAAACATGATAGTTCGTTCCAACAACTTGTTCTGCGTTTGACTCCAACCTTGGACCAACTTACACTTGCTCATTCAAAGACAGAAAATCAGAAAATGCATAATTACTCTGTAACAGACCTTAACATGATTTCTACTTTGCATGAGGATTAAAAATCATTATTACTGTTTCACAGTTGATTTAAAAATGATTAGTTCACTGCAACATCTAAAAATGGTTTGAACTAAACACACTTTGATTATCAAACATTTGTAAAATAGTAATGATAATAGAAAAGAGAGTGTTCTTTCAATTGATCAGTGCAGGACACTTAGAAAGTCTCTGGATGACTTAATCTTGTGTTTCTGGACTCAAATCAATGAAATACAGTTCTTGTTCCAGGAAGGCCCCTCAAGGCCAGATTTGACCTGAGGCCTAGTTCACTACATAGACATGGACAAAAACATTGTCCTCCACCTTTTAGCTCTTGGTGGTGGGTGGTTATCAGCCATGGGCGGCTGTGGTGCAGTGGTAGGGCAGCTGACATGGGACCAGAAACTTGCAGGTTCGATTCCCCGTTGTGCCCACATGCTGTGATGTCTTTAAGCAAAAACAGCTGTTCTGCGCAGCCTAAAAATCTGCCCGCTGCTCCACCTGGGTGGGAACGGCAGAGCACAGATTGAGTCATTGTACGGGAACATGCAGTGCTGACAACGCCTTTACATTTAATATTAGACTGACGAGTCCTGCAAGATATTTATTTAATCTTTTACGTTGTAGGAAAATAAATGTTTTTTGAAGCTTGAAAAACTGGTTAGACACAACACATGCATAAATACAACATGATGGAATACAATTATACAATATATTTGTTATAGTCAGATTCTGACAGACAAACTTTGTAAAGGTGCATTCACACCAGCCCTGTTTAGTCCGCTTTAATCGAAATCTAGCTCGTTTTCCTAGAAAGTCTGGTTCATTTAGGGAGGTGTGAACGTGCCATCGAACTCTGTCACGGAACAAAAAGGTGAACTCTGGCCCGGGCTAAAACCTAGGTCTCGGTCCGGTAGAAGCGAACTCCAGCGCGGTTCGAGTACAGTGTGAATGTAAACAGACCGGACGCTCCGCAGGGTAAACAAACACGCATTGCTCTGACCTTATATGGAGCCGTCAGCTGTCTTGTGTGAAAAACAATATTCTCCATGGTCTTCTGTCTCATCTTCTGCTCATGCTGAGTCCATTTTTGAAAAATGACAAAATATAACTCCTAAAACTGCTAAACTTGATGCCACTTCGTTTTTATTTTTATTTACAAAAGAAGAAGACGTGTCTTCAGAGGTTTTTGTGTTGTTTCTTTCAGTAGTTCTTGGTGCAGCGCCCCCACAGGCGAGCAGGGGAACAGGTTGGTTCAACAGGTTGACTCGACTGCACAGTGCAGTGTGAATGCAAACGCACCAGCTCAAATGTAAACAAAAGGTCATGAATGTTGGTCCCGAACCGAACCGAGTCTACCGGACTATCTGGTGTGAAAACGACCGAAGATGGAGCTTCATCTTGAACTTTTAGTTTGTAAATGTTTCTAAATCATCCTCTCACCATTAAGCACTGTTTTTCTTCCGTACGTTTGTCAGCACATAACTCGTTCTGCAGTTTTTGTTCTATTTCAACAACTCGTATATCAAAATATTCAGCTCATGCAGGACATTCCTGCTGAGAGTTCTTATACTTTTTGAAATGCTGTATTTAGCTTTGTCAGCCATGTTTTCCTCTCTAAAAATGAATGGAGCTCTCCTCATGTCCTTCAAACCCTCTGTGCTGTTTACAACCTTCTCCTGCTGCTCATTGCAGCTGTTGTTCTGCTTTAGCATTTTTCAGCTTCTTTGTTAATTTCAGCTTATTTTTACAAATTTCAGCTTCCTTCTGCTAATTTCAGATTTTGCAGCTACTTTTTAGGTATTTTTCTGCTAGTTTTAGTTTTTTTTTCTATGTTATTCTTTGCTAATGTTTGCCTTTTGGTGATTCTTTTGAATAATTTCAACCATTTTTCCCCCTTTTAGCCTCTTTCTGATCAGCTTTTCCAGCTACTTTTTATTTTTTTTAGCTAATTTCAGGTTTTTTTGTGTGTAATCTATTTCAGCTCACGTTAACAGTTTATTAGAGAAGAAAACTTTTCAGCTGGTTTCAGCTTCTTCAGCTAGTTTCAGCAATGGTTGAGCATCCACACTGTTTTCACAGGAAGTGAAATTTCTCTGGTTTTATTATTTTATGGTGCTTCAGACTGGTCCACTTCAGTGAAGAGGTTTTGTCTCAGAGTCTCATCTGTTTGTGACTGTTTTTTCTTATTGTCCTCATGAAAGTGATGCTGCGAGCACTTTGTTTATTTTGTTCTTGTAAAGTTGTGAAATGCTGTTGGTTCAGTTATTAATCATCTGTCCAGCCAAACGTTCCTGTTTACTGGTCATATTTTAATTTGTCTTATTTTTTGTAGCTGTTGAGATGTTTTCACAGCAGCCCGGCGTCTCCATCGCGTTGGCCTCGGCCCGCACGTTTCACCAAGCAGGACAAGTCAGAGAAGACAAACTCTCTGGTCCATAAGGAGGACTTCTTTGAGCATATTGCCAAAGAGTCCAAAACAAAGGCCACGTTTAACCAAATAATCGATGTCTTCATCAAGAGGGACATCCGGCGGCGGGGTCACGTGGAGTTCATCTACGCCGCTCTGCGTAAAATGCCAGAATTTGGGGTGGAAAAAGACCTGAGCGTGTACAACAAGCTGCTGGATGTGTTTCCTAAAGAGGTCTTTGTCCCCGAGAACGCTATTCAGCAGATGTTCCTTCATTATCCCAGACAGCAGGAGTGTGGGGTGGCAGTTCTGGAACATATGGAGAACTACGGTGGGTGTTTGACACTCTTAGGATCTCAGTATGTTCTCATTTAAACATTTGTCTGAATAAATGTCACGTTCTTTAGGTTTGATGCCCAACCTTGAGACCAAGGTCCTGCTCATCCAGATCTTTGGACGCAAGGGCCACCCTGTTAGAAAGTACCAGCGTTTGCTGTACTGGTTCCCCAAATTCAAGCACATAAACCCTTACCCGATTCCACACCACATGCCTGAGGACCCAGTGGACCTGGCCCGCTTCAGCTTGACTCGCATCGCCAACGACCTGGATGCTAAAATTACCATCTACCAGGTTAGACAAGTTTCTACATAAATAACCAGAAAACACAGAATATGACTGAGTGATGTCTACAGAGGGCTGTGCAGGGTCCTGGTGTTCTTTCTGTTTTGTTGCCTTCAACCATATGTGTGAAATTCTCGCCCCTAAAATATAAAATATTTTTATTGCTTCTTATTTTGCTTAAAACTGATAAATACCGTATTTTCCGGCATATAAGTTGCAGCTTTGTTAGTCCTGCAACTTATACGCCGAAGCAACTTATAAATGTTTTTTCCTCTTCATGATGCTTTTTTTGACTGATGCGACTTATACTCAGGAAAATACGGTACTTCATTTAGCACAGATTTCTCATAGTGGCCAACTTTGAAGCCAGAAAAAAAACATTGGTCTTTCCAGTAATTTTGATTTTGACCTGGAAGAGCAACAGAACATCAGATAAGATGGATCAAACTCTTGTTGACGAACCTGCAACCAAGAAAAGATGTCGGGGGTCTGACTGAGTTAATGTATCAACTGAACTCAGCCCGTGGCTCAGACCAGGTTTTTAATTTAGGCCCCCTTTTGACACCTCATGTCTTATACCCTGCAGCTTAAATGGATTTTTATTTGTTTATAATAATTCTACAAAAAAATTCAGGTTGGAGAAGTTTAAGGAAAAATAAAACTAGTTTAAAATAAAATAAAAGACCGAAAAATGCTATATGGTGCATACATCCATGCAGTTGAAACCAGAAGTTCATTTCCTGTCAAATTCCAGTACAGAAAAACACTCTTCTCCAGAACTACAAACATTCACTCTTCAGATCCCTCAGTCAGAGGACACCAGTGCACCACTCGTCTTCACTTGTTTTAGCCACAGGCTAACGTTCTTCTTCTCTTCTCCACAGCAGCCATGTGCAGAAACCACAGAGAGCGGAGAGGAAATCAAACTTCCATATGTCGTCGGTACGGAGTTTACTGAACCACCGCTGCTCCAGTAGACAGTATATTGTTTTACTAGTCCTACTGGGAGATATCAGGTGTTTTCTTTCTTTGTTCTCTGAGCTCATTGTTCAAATGGAAAGAAAAAACATCTAAAATGTTAAAAGTGGAGAAGCTGCATTCTCTGCAGAAACAGTGAAAACTGAACCACTTCACTGAGACTGAGTTTGTGAAGCTAAAAGGAGCAAAATATGAGCAAAAAAAAAAAAGGCTAAACCCTAACTGAAAGCCAAAACATGTAAAAATCCTAGCTTAAAGTGGCAATTACTAACTAAAAGCTAATAGTAGCAGTAGGTTAGCTAAAAAGCTAAAAATGAAAGATAAGCTAAAAAAAAGCAAAGAGCTAACTAAAAGCAGCTAATAACTGAAATTAGGATAAAGCTAGATAAAAGCTAAAAGTCGTAAACTAAATGGAAGATAATTACCAAAAGACTAGCTAAAAGTAAAAAAAAAGGCTACAAAATGCTAAAGTGGAAAAAAAATGAACTGGTTGATAAAAGTTAAAATTTAAGAAATTTTAAAAGGACAATGGTAGATACAAAAATAACTAAATTATTCCTAGGTAAGAGTAAGTAAATACTTGCTTTAAGTTTATATTATCAAAATACTATCTAAAAGATAAAGTAACGAACGTGTAGCTAAAAGTAGCAAAGGTACATAGAAGCTAAAAGGAGTAAAATATTATCAATTAAGCAAAAAGTAGCAAAATGGTAGCTAAAAGCATCTAAATGATAGCTAAAACCTAAACTAGCAAAATTGTCTCAAAAGGCTAGCTAAAAGCTAAAGTAGTAAAAGACTAAATGTCTCAAATTGAAAAAAGCCAATACTATAGTATAAAAATCCAGCTAAAATGGGAAACTGGTAGCTTACAGCTAAAAGTAAGCTGAAGCTGTTTAAAAAATAGCAGTTTTTATGATGAATATATTTGTAAATAAAGTTAAATTTTTAGAAAAGTTTGAAAGTTATGAAACACACAGAACCCACTTCCTGGATGAGCTCGGTGTTTTAAAGTATGGACAGCTAAAACAATACAAATCATGCAGAAAAGTTAGATAGCAAAGAATGTTGGTAAAAAAAAAACACAACAGGAAACCATTAGTGATGACTCAGCATTCCCACAGAACCTGATGGTTTCTAAAATGTTTCCTTGGTGTTGGAGTTGTGTCTGCTGGCTTTAACAGAGTTTCATGTGTCGGCATCAGGTATTCAGAGCCCTGATCAGATGGAGCTGCTGTCCAAACACAACCCGAAGCGGCCGGTGTTTGTGGAGGGCCCCTTCCCTCTGTGGCTGAAGAAGACCTGCGTTTACTACTACATCCTCAGAGCCGACCCCACACCACCAGAGGAGAAGGTTGGCAAACACCTAACTGGATTCATTTAAGGAAATGTGCCAATTACTAGGAGGTTACCTGTCGTCATGAAGCTCAGCTCAACATTCTTTTTTTTAGCAACATCCCACTCATCAGTCTAATAAATATACAGGCAGAGTCATTCTAATCTTAATTAATCTTCCCATTTGATCAGAACGTTTTTGTCCACCGTCACGGAGCCAGGAGGGGGAATTTGAAATACTGTACCCACCGTCCGTCTGTGCATGTTGTGAGCATGATAACTAGAAAAATAAGTGAGGTACCAACTTCCATTTTGGTGTGTGGCAACATCTACATCTAGGTGTAAAAAATGTCATCATCATTATTATTTGGTTTCCACATCAAAATTCAAGATGGCCACCACCATATATATGTAAACCAGCATCCCCAATCATTTGAGTATATTGTACTTTCTAGTTTTTATATTGCTTAAAAGTATAGTTTCCTCAAATGATCAGGGTGGCCAAAGATTAGTCTATGGTAGCCAAGGCCACCATTGGCCACCCCCTGGCTCCACCATTGCACCTAGTCAAGGCAAAAATGTCTCCCTCCACTCTCCAGGATCAATCAATGTTAATTTATTGAATCCTTTTCAACAGCCAACAGATGCACAAAGTGCTGCACAGTACAAAGTTAAAAACAAACGATAAAAAAAACTATATAAAATGCCAGAAAGCCACTTGGTATTAAAAACCTGCCTGCATGAAAAGGTTTAAGATTAGATCAAAGTTCATGCTCGATAATCCAGGTAAAAAAAAAAATCCAACAAAGTTCAGTCAGGTCATCGGGACGTTTTTTTTGAGACGAGAGTAAAGAAGTATTCGTTGATCTTAAGGTTCTCTTCTGCTCACACAAAGCCACTAGATCAGCTAAATAAAGTGGAGCAAGTCCGTTAAGAACTTTTAAAAGTGAACAATTAAAGTTTAAATTCAATTTTAAAACAAACTGGAACCCAGTAGATAAACTAAAATGGGGCTGATGTGCTCACGTCTGGGAATGTTTGTTCAAAGTTGGGTCACAGCATTTTGGACCAGTTGAAGACGTCTGATGGATGACTGGGAGCTTCCTACATACAAAGCCTGACAGTCTTCAGGCCTTGAGCTGATAAAAGTATGAATGGCCCTTTCCAGGTCTGGATGATTTAAAAAAGGCTCAACTTTGGTTAAAAGACGTAGTAGCTGATAAAAGCTGGCCTTGACCACAGAGGCTATATGTTTGTCAAACTTTAAATCTTTGTCATGTTTTTTTACTGTGGTTCTGAACTTGGATGTCAGAGCACTGAAAATATAAGAAGCATCATCACCAAAAAAAGATACTCTCCGTCTCTCCATCCATCCATTATCTTTACCCGCTTCTTCCTTTTCGGGTCACGGGGGTCACTGGTGCCCATGTCCAACAGTCACTGTGTGAGAGGTGGGGGACACCCTGGACAGGTCTCCAGTCCATCACAGGGACACGTAGAGACAAACAACCATTCACTCTCTCTCTCTCACACCTTGAGACAATTTAGTTAACAATCAGCCTAACATGCATGTTTTTGGTGTGTGGGAGGAAACTGGAATACCTAGAAAAAATCCATGCATGCACAGAGAGAACATGCAAACTCCACCCAGAAAGGCCCTAGGGTCAGGATTTGAACAGGGGCGACCTGCTCGCTGAGAGGAGGCAGCTCTACCAACTGCGCCACCGTGATGCCCCTCTCCGTTTTTCCTTCATTTAAAAGCAGCAAATGTTGGTGAAGTCACTGAAACCACTAAAAGAAGTTTGAAGGTTACTTACTATTTCATTGCAAGCAGATCCAAGTGAAGGTCATCTGCATAGCAGTGAAAAGAAAAATGGTGTCTGGCTCTAACTGATCCAAGTGGCAGCATATAGAGAAAAGAGTAGCGGACCAAGAATAGAGCCCAGTGGCACACCACAAGAGGAGCAATGGAGGACAGAGTACCCATCATGGCAGAGAAAGTTCTGTTGGTCAAGTAGGAGGTGAACCAGATATTTCAACAATGCGTTGAAGACGAGACAGAAGAGATCACTCTGAGCTGGAATAAAAAAACACCTTTCTCATTCTCCAGTGTAACTCCTCCCCACTTGAATATCTTGCACCAAAAACATTAAGGTTTACTGGCATTCCCTGTCCAAACATTTACAATTGGAATTCCTCAGCTTGTTTAAATTAAATTTATATAATTATTAACACTACAATAAAATAAAAACTCTTAAGACATTTAAATACTGTTAGCCACATTCCTGTTGAGTGTCGGTAAGACGCTAAACTGTAGAAATTATGATTCATTTAAAAATGTATGGATTGTGCACCAGATATACCAAGTCTTTTGAAATTTGGTCTTGGTCTCGGATTTTTAGATGTAGTTCATCAGAACCGCTGAACATCAGAGAATGACTGACTGAGGTCTGGTCAGGGCAGAACAGAGTTTTGTACCAACTAGTGCAGACTGGGCAGAATTGAAAATTGTGGATAAAATCTGGCAAAACAAAGTGTGTTGTGTCTTCATCAGGTTTGCTGTCTCCTCCCACAGGTGGAGGAGCCCTATGATCCAGAGAGGTGCTTCTACTACCCTCTGCAGCTGGACCTTAATCTGGAGCGTGACTTGGAGGATGACGAGGACTTCAGTGTGGATGACTGTAAGACACCATCAGACTTGTAGATGTCTAGTTTACCAGAAGCATCCTGTCTCAGTGTGTACTGTGTGTCTGTCCAGTGGACGACGGTCCGGTCTTCGGCATGTGTATGACCGACCGGGGAGATCAAGCGACTCTGAACCAGTGGATCTCCGGCCTCCAGCTGAACAATCCCATCTTGGGTCAGGTCCCCACACTGTTCCGCCTACACAGTGGCCCCCGAGAAGTGCAAGAGACGGACACAGCCAAGTTGGGTCAAAGCCATCGGCCTCATTCTGAGACCCCGCAAGAAGATCCACAGTCTGAAGAACATGGTGTAGAAGATGAAGAGTCCAGGAGGAGCCACAGGATGAAGCAATGAAAGCTCATAACGAGTTTATGTTTAAAGAATTTTCTATCCAAACTTCTGTCATCCACAACTCTTTTAATCTAAATGTTTAAGATGGTGGTCAGTACCTCTCACAGGATCGTATTGTGGGATCAATCCTACGTTTTGAAAGAAATTCTTCAAACATTGTAGTAATTTAAGTTCTACCACAATGGCAGAGTTTTAGACTAAGACATGGTAGACTTGTAGCCATCTTGGGTCAAGCCTTGAAAATGACATTATGAATCTCTATTAGAGTTTGGAGTACGTGTTGAAGAGGACTCGGCTACCAGCACATCAAACGTTAAGATCTGTGAAATTCTCTGAGTTAGAGCCACTAATGAGCTCTGCGGCAGCCATCATGAAATCTAAAAGTATTTGCAGACGTTAATCCGATAGGCATTTTGTGTTGTTAAATTTCACCTGGTGGCTAAGGGAATATTCTGCTAACACAACTGTCTGCCTTCACCTTTCAACAGTGAGTGTTAATGTTTGAAAAAAAAAAAAAGATTCAAGTAAAAGAGTCCAAATGTAAAAAATGTTTATTACTGAAAGGCTTTTCCAGCTTTGACTCTGTTACATTCTGAACGGGTCAGACGAGTTGGTCACCTCCAGCTCTTCACATCATGTTCGAGCTGCGCTCTGAGGGCGCTTTACCACAACTTTGTGCTTTAAACAAACATTTCAGCATGTTAAACTTTGTACAAAACAGAAAATAAGAACGCAGCCTGTGTTTTACTACTCATGCAGGAAAACCTTCAATACTTACAAACTGAGAGACCGCACTTCTCCATCTAAGACTATGATAATAAATAAACATAGCAAAAAGGGAACAGGTATATTTGGCCTTTGGGTTTTATGTACAGGCCAGAATAATTCACATCACATCATAAAGCCTGAATGAAAGGCAGGGAGATTCTAACCCGGGTGTAAAGGGTACCAGGAAAACCTTTTTCAGGACAAAGAACTAAACGTACTGTGCTTCGCAGAGCTACAGCAATAAGCAGCAAGAGTCTCAGCCTGTAAACTGAAATCTGATTAAAGTAAAACATGTAGAACATTACTGTTATATATCCACCCTCTACCTGCTTCTCCTTTTGGGTCGTGGTGTCTGTCTCTGTGAGAGGCGGGGGACACCTTGGACAGGTCTCCAGTCCATCACAGACACATTTGGCCCTTGTGCATTGTAAGGCCCAGCCCAGGTTCCGCCTCCTATTTTTCTTTAGAACAAATGGCAACGCAAGCTCAGTTGGTAGAGCTGCTGCCTCTCAGGAAGAAGGTCGCTGGTTCAAATCCCGGCTGGGGAGGTCTTTCTGGGTGGAGTTTGCATGTTCTCTTTGTGCATGTGTGGGTTTTCTCCGGGTACTCTGGTTTCTTCCCACAGATCAAAAACATGCATGTTAGACTGATTGGTAACTCTAAATTGTCCCTAGGTGTGAGTGAGAGTGAATGGTTGTTTGCTCTGTGTGTCCCTGTGATGGACTGGAGACCTGTCCAGGTGTCCCCTGCCTCTCACACAGTGACTGTTGGATATGGGCACCAGTGATCCTCGTGATCCAGAAAAGAAGCAGCAGCAATGTAAAAGGGAGCACCAGTGCCCTGAATAAACAAGGTGCCGTTACTGCTGAGCTGAGACTCGTGAGGTCTTGGTCCCACCTACTTCGAGACGGCTCTCTGCTAAAAGCAAACAAAACCAGAACTGGGGAAGACCGGGTTTGGTCCGGGCCAAGATTTACAATGCATAAGAGGCAATAGAGACAAGAAAAACTACCCCATTCACACCTAGGGACAAATTAGATGCAGGGGTTCCCAACCCTGGTCCTTGAGGAACACCATCCAGCATGTTTTAGTTGTTTCTTTGCTCTGACACACCTGATTTTAATTAATGTGTGATTAACAGGCTTCTGCAGAACACGAGGAAGTAATTAAATCACTGAATCAGGTGTGTTGGAGCAGGGAAACAACTAAAACATGAAGGATGGTGTTCCTCAAGGACCAGGGTTGGGAACCACTGATTTAGTTACCAGTCAGTCTAACATGCATGTTTTTGGTCTGTGGGAGGAAACTGGAGTGCCTGGAGAAAACCCATGCAGCACGGAGAAAACCCATGCAGCACGGAGAGAACATGCAAACTCCACCAGAAAGACAAACCGGCGACCTCGCTGTGAGGCAACAGCTCTAACCACTTCTCAGTATTATAAATTACGAATTGTGTTTCCACTCTGCTGTAGCTTAGACTAACTGCGTTTCCTACTAATTCCTAAAGTCTTAAGTTTCTTCAGGGTCTAGAAAAGACGCTGGATCCATCAGCATCACTGCATATCTCCATAGCAACAAGCCTAAAGAATCTATTAGCTTGTCAGCTTCAGTACGTCATACTGTAACTTAGAATTAAACGCTGGTAGGAAGAGTTTATTTGTGGCTTTTTTAAGGTGACTTTCATGAATTCAATAAATCTAATAAAAAATGCATCACAAGTCGTAGAGTGATGCTTTTCCTTCTTGGACTTGGGTTTTCAGTTGATCCTTGCGGACTTCCTTTCAGCTGATCAGTTCATGTACGTTTCTGCACACACACAAAAAAAGGGAAAAAGTATTGAGACACTCAGGAAAAACAAATCTTCTAATTATTACAGTGGATATTTATAATTTAGGACAAAAGACAGATGGATAAAATTAATATGTGCATTTTCTTGACCCAGTCTGATATGGTTTATTACTCCACAACAGCAGAAATTACAAAAGTTTCTTCAGTCCTGCACAACAAGAGTCTTAAGCATATTTATAACTAGAAAGTTCCTGGAGAAACTTTGACGGGGACTGCCACGTTGCTGCCACTTTAAAATTTTGATTTGAAAGTGTTGTGTTGGGGTTTGCTCTCAGCTACCACTATACGACATTTCAGCTGAATAGCTCTAAAAATGGCTGAGTTATTGTATTTTTTCCTTTTTAGCCAAGGTGGTCATCTTGGATTTTTTATTTGGATTCAGTATGTGATGGGGAACGTTCTCAGCTGTAACCACAACAAATTTCAGCTCTATATGTGTAAAAATAGCGGAGTTAAATAATAGCTAAAGTTAAAGCCATTTAAATGTAGCTTTTTGGTAGCAATCTTGAATTTTTAGATTTGACTTCTCAGTATTTAATGGGCATTACTCTCAGCTACCAACACACCAAATTACAGCTGAATAGCTCTAAAAACAGCTGAGTTATAGATTTTTTTGCTTTTTAGCTAAGGTGGCCATCTTGGATATTTGATTTGCCTGGTTAAACAAAGGTTAATACAAATTTGCATTAGGAATGTATAACAACTTGCTCTCAGCTACAACCAAACTACATTTCTGCTCAGTATCTGAAATAATGACTAAGTTATAGTCAATTTTGTGTTTGTTGAGATAGCTGTGGCAGACATCTTGAATCAAAATGGCTCCAAACGTTAATCAGTTATAGAGATACGTGATGATTACTTTCTGTGAGTTTCAAACAAATCCAACAGTGACTTTCTAAGTTTTCTTCGTGGAGCTCTCCACTGTAGGTCATGTGACCTCACAATAGCAGTTAGAGTGTGAGAAATGTTCTGTCAGGTGTTTTGTGTGGGAAAAATGGTGTCTTTCTTTGCAAATTACATTGCCATGGTAACTAGAAACACCAATAAAAGTAATAGCAAAAATCACGGTGCCGAGCCAGTGGTTTTGATATAACATTTGTGGGGGGACAGGTTGCAGTTCGGGCCGCATTAAAGTTGAAGGAAAAGTAAGACAAAGTTAAGAAACCCTTTGTGAGGTGGATAATAACAGGTGCTGCCTCTTACTAGGCAGTCTCCAACGAGTGTTGATCTCAAAATACTCTCAAAACATTTAAAACTTTTAATGTTGTATTTTATTGTTGTTCTCTAGCCTAAACTGTTGAATGTTAGGAATGTTAGGATGCTGCAGAGTTGCAGGAAAAAAATTATTCTGACGTCACAACAAAACATACAACTTTAGTTAGATTTTTACAGTAGTCCCTCGTTTATCATGGTAGATCCATACCCTGAAGACCCGCGATAAGTGGAAAACCACAAATTGTAGCTCTGGGCTGCACAGAGGTGCAGCAGGTCCTAAATAATTTAAAATAATTTATTTTAAATACAAATTCCATGCCGATCGTGCGGCTCATCCATCAATCAGCCAATTGTGTGTCATGTCCAATCTTATTTTGAAAAACCGCGATAGAGCGAGTCTGCGAAAAACAAACTGCGAAGTAGCGAGGGACTACTGTATTCCCTTTTTAATTAAAAAAAACAACTTAATTTTTGGTCTGTCAACTTCAATCTCAAAACTCAGAAACAAGCAAGAAAAATTAATAAATACAAAATGTTTCTGAGTGACCATAATGTTATTCAAATTTATTCCAAATGAATAAAATCAGATTCAATCCAATTTTAATCCAGTTTATTGTATGTAAATCCAGTATAATTCAGTATATTACCACTAAAATGCTTGTCTGAAGGTGGTGTACCTGTCAGAGCCCCACCCTGCTGCTGCAGCTGGCTGGTAAAGAAGCGCTCCCGCTTGGACACCTGCTCATCCCAGGCCTCCAGGATCCGCTGCCTCTCCTGGTGTTCCAGGGTCAGGGTGTGTGGGTGGACCTCATCAATGTGGGCCCTGACTCCGTCCAGGCTGTGGGAGTACTGCAGCTCCCCACACACCATGCACACCAGCAGCTGGTTGAGGGGATTGTAGTCCATGAGGTAGCGGTTCCTCCAAACTGTCTCTGACAAAGGACCCTCCTCGTCGTTGTTACCAACAAAGTCTGCAAACAGAATCTCTGTCTCACCTGGAAAAACAGTTAAACCTCAGTTAACTTGGTCCCCGTTGGATTTAACGCCATGAAGGTTTTTTAAAGTTATACCTTCACCTGGTGCAGCATAATCTGAGTGTGTAAAAGGTCCCGAGTTGGAGTCCATGGACATGCTAAAAGGAGATTTTAATTTATGTTTTTAATGTAGCAGCAAAAGAAAAGTGGTTAAGCAGAAGATAAATAAAGGTCCCACCTCATTATGTTGTCAGATTCCTCAGAGGAGCTTGCACACGCACCAGAATCCTTCAGGAAAAAAGAGAAACTGTAAAGAACCGAGGACACTTTTGTCTTGTTTGAATAGTAACATATTTATAATATAGGGATACACGATATTATCGGCATGGTATCGGTATCGGCCGATATTAGCGATAAAGTTAAATATTGGCCATTCCATCAAAATAACTCACCGATATAAATGGCGTTGTTTGTTTATATATATATATATATATATATATATATATATATATATAATATTTATATAGTGTTAAATAATTTTCTGCCCCCTTATTGTTATCTGCATTTGGTAACAAGCCAAACTGACAAAGACCATGCAGAATAATGTAGTAATTTAATTCCACAGCAGAGAAAGCTATGTAGTCTCTGTTAGTAGATCTAGGGAAAAATATATCGGTATTGGTATCAGTTATCGGCCAAATAAGTTTTAACACATCAGATATATCAGCCAAAAATCCAATATCATGCATCCCCATTATAATATACACCTAAACTGGACAATAACCAAATAAAATAAAAGCCTAGCAATCTTTCATCCTTTAGTCCTTGAAGAAATGTCCCATGTATGCTGATTTGCTTTTAGCTATGGATATACTAATTTTTGCTTTTACCTTTTTAATTTTAGCAGTGATTTCACTTTAACACACCCTCCGGTCCTCCTTTTTGAAAAAGGGAATCACTACCCCAGTCTGCCAATCTAGTGGCACCATCGCTTATGTCAAGTGACATTGCAAAGGTGTGTCAACCAAGACAGTAAACTCCTGGTGTCACATCCTAATCAGCTGATTAACTCCTAGAAAGGAGCTAAAAATGCCTCGTTTCTCAAGTCCAGCCACTCATGAACCAGACAACATCAGAAGTGTCTTACCTGGCTGAGGAGAAAATGGTAAATTGACTGTACTTGTATAGCACCTTTCTATCTAATCCAGATATCAAAGCTCTTTACACTACAATCTGTCCTCATTTACCTCCAACACACACATTCATACAGCACTCTACTAGATTTCTGCACTCGCTCTTGTGCAAGGCGGATGCCTCCTCTCCCTCTCCTATTCTCCTGCCTTTTTTTTGCTCTCTGTCTGTGTATCAGAGCTCCTATTACACATCTTCCAAAACTAAAACTACTGTCATGGGTCAGCTGAACTTTCAACGCAATCAATAACCTTTTTTCACGAAAGCAACAGTGTCCTGGAGAACCCTCATGCCCCGCTGAGACTCACGCAGCAAGATATGTCATGGATCCGTGGGGAGTTTGGGAGCTGATGTGTCTTTCCATTCTGTCTCAGGAGGACGCCGATGATGTCTATATAATTGGATTCATGAAAGCAGGGTTTCTGCTCTCTGGCATCGGTAGATTCCTGTTTAATCGGCTATTAAGGAAGATGGCGGCAGCAGTCGGCAATGGCAAAACTGCCAAGTCTGTGTGAAGGTTTGGTTCTTGCTTTGAGTACTCAAAGTCAACTGATATATGAGCTAAACCTCGAAATCAGGCCGACTTAAAACATTTCTCCTGGGACATGTGTAAACTAAGGAAAAGCTTTGTCTATACCCCCCCCCCCCCCCCCACACACACACACACACACACACAGAATTTCTGTGAAAACTTATCAGAACTGTGCTAGCTGACCAAAATTTTATCAGGATTATGGTCTATCTGGAAGTGCTTCATGGACAAATCTCACCGCCTTGCTGTCAAATGCATATGTAATGTGTTCATAAATGTGCTTGCTGGCAGTTTTGTGATGTCTTAAATAGGGGTTGAACGACTACATAATTTTAAAAGTCGACATTAACAAAGTCGAGTAGGCGTCGAGTAGTTGATGACATCATAGGATCTCAAGATGCAAAAAAAGTCATTTATTATTTACAAAAAAATGACAAACAAAACATTGGGAGCGTTTATTATGCTCCTACCATTTATCACACTGCAAATAAGTCACAGGAAAACCAAAACTATTGGTTATTATTATTAAGCTGCAAAAGTGAAAGAAATGTGCGGCACGTAAAAAAGGAAACTAAAAACAGTGGGGCAGTCGACCACTGCATTAGGTTTAGTTTTAGAGATGAATATGTTTATAGTTTTTTTTATAGGTTTAGAAATTAATATTTTTTGCTTTTTGTTTGTGAAACAAGGTCAGAAGGAAGCTGGTTCTGGTTCGGTCGATTGGCCAAGATGGCCGTGCTCAGAGCAGTTGCAGCTTCACAGGCTCCTGGTACTATCCCAGTTTTTAGAAGTTTTGATATTGACTCTGTGCCTGACTCCGCACGATTTATGCGTGTGAACTATAGCCGAACCGAATTGATGAGAATAGGAGCAGATTTGCCAGGCAATATACAGGTCCTTCTAAAAAAATTAGCCTATTGTGATAAAGGTAATTATTTTCCATAATGTAATGATAAAAATGAAACTTTCATATATTTCAGATTCATTGCACACCAACTGAAATATTTCAGGTCTTTAATTGTTTTAATACTGATGATTATGGCATACAGCTCATGAAAACCCAAAATGCCTGTCCCAAAAAATTAACATATTTCATCCCATCAATGAAAGACAAGTGTTTTTAAATACAAAAAACGCCAACCTCCAAATAATCATGTTCAGTTATGCACTCAATACTTGGTCGGGAATCCTTTTGCATGAATGACTGCTTCAATGCGGCGTGGCATGGAGGCAATCAGCCTGTGGCACTGCTGAGGTGTTATGGAGGCCCAGGATGCTTCGATAGCGGCCTTAAGCTCATCCAGAGTGTTGGGTCTTGCGTCTCTCATCTTTCTCTTCACAATATCCCACAGGTTCTCTATAGGGTTCAGGTCAGGAGAGTTGGCAGGCCAATTGAGCACAGTAATACCATGGTCAGTAAACCATTTACCAGTGGTTTTGGCACTGTGAGCAGGTGCCAGGTCGTGCTGAAAAATGAAATCTTCATCTCCATAAAGCTTTTCAGCAGATGGAAGCATGAAGTGCTCCAAAATCTCCTGATAGCTAGCTGCATTGACCCTGCCCTTGATAAAACACAGTGGACCAACACCAGCAGCTGACATGGCACCCCAGACCATCACTGACTGTGGGTGCTTCACACTGGACTTCTGGCATTTTGGCATTTCCTTCTCCCCAGTCTTCCTCCAGACTCTGGCACCTTGATTTCCGAATGACATGCAAAATTTGCTTTCATCCGAAAAAAGTACTTTGGACCACTGAGCAACAGTTCAGTGCTGCTTCTCTGTAGCCCAGGTCAGGCGCTTTTGCCGCTGTTTCTGGTTCAAAAGTGGCTTGACCTGGGGAATGCGGCACCTGTAGCCCATTTCCTGCACACGCCTGTGCACGGTGGCTCTGGATGTTTCTACTCCAGACTCAGTCCACTGCTTCCGCAGGACCCCAAGGTCTGGAATCGGCCCTTCTCCACAATCCTCCTCAGGGTCCGGTCACCTCTTCTCGTTGTGCAGCGGTTTCTGCCACACTTTTCCCTTCCCACAGACTTCCCACTGAGGTGCCTTGATACAGCACTCTGGGAACAGCCTATTAGTTCAGCAATTTCTTTCTGTGTCTTACCCGCTTGCTTGAGGGTGTCAATGATGGCCTTCTGGACAGCAGTCAGGTCGGCAGTCTTACCCATGATTGCGGTTTTGAGTAATGAACAAGGCTGGGAGTTTTTAAAAGCCTCAGGAATCTTTTGCAGGTGTTTAGAGTTACGTCGTTGTTTCAGATGGTTAGGTTAATAGCTTGTTTAGAGAAACTTTTCATGATATGCTAATTTTTTGGGACAGGCATTTTGGGTTTTCATGAGCCATAATGCCATAATCATCAGTATTAAAACAATTAAAGACCGAAAATATTTCAGTTGGTGTGCAATGAATCTGAAATATATGAAAGTTTTATTTTTATCATTACATTATGGAAAATAATGACCTTTATCACAATATGCTAATTTTTTGAGAAGGACCTGTAGCAGAAATCAGCAACGAACTCAAAACTACGCTTGACAGAATGCAGATCTTAAAGGCATCTACCTGGAAGCTGTAGCAGAGGCATTCCAACAAGCAGAAGAGGAAGCGTTGCTCCTGGCTTAAAAAGAGAGGACGCCGGGCGGGGGTTATGGTGAGGCTACGAGCTAATGCTAAAGCCGGAAAACTCTTGATGCTGTCTCTCTTTCTGTCAAACATCCACTCGTTGGACAATAAGATGGATTTGCTTCGTCTGAGAACGAGCGCCTCAGAAGAGATGAAGTGTGCGGTGCTTTGACTCACAGAAACATGGATTACAAGTGAAACGCCGGATACAGTCTTCCAGCTGGATGACAGACTTTTTTTGAGCAGATCGCTGCAGCGAGCTAACGGGGAAATCACAGGGAGGCGGAGTGTGCATTTATGTGAGTAAAGGTTGGTGCACGAACTGTACTGTTGTAAAAAGCTCATGCTCGAAGGCTTTGGAGCAAATAGTGAAATGTCAGCCACATTATCTACCCTGCGAGTTCACAGTGACTTTCATTACAATTGTTTACATTCCACCGAATGCTAATGCTAATGACGCTCTGCAGGAGCTACACAATTTATTCAGCTCGCTGCAGAACAAACACCCTGAGGCTGTTTATGTGGTGCCCGGAGACTTTAATCACGTGAATCTAAAAGACTGCCTCCCAAGTTTTTACTAGCATGTGGGCATACCAACACATGGAAACAACACGCTGGACCGTGTTTACACAAACGTAAAAGATGCATACAAAGCCGAACCCCGACCCCACCTAGGAATCTCCGATCACATCTCAATCTTCTTGGCCCCTGCTTACCTCCCCCTGCTGAGACGCTCCAGACCAGTACAAAAGAAAGTTAAATGGTGGATCCAGGACAGTGCTCCCATACTGAGAGATTGTTTTGAATGAACAGACTGGCAGGTTTTCAGAGAAGCTGCTGAAAATGGAGGATCGCTTGATCTGGACAAATGCACATCCTCAGTTCTGGGTTACATAGCAGACAGAATACATGCATGTCTCATACATTGAAGACACCGTCTCCACCACAAGATATGTTAAAAATTACCCAAACAGAAAACTTTGGCTGAATGCAGAGGTGCGCACCCTGCTGGAAGCCAGGAACACTGCCTTTAGGTCTGGAAATTCACAGGAGTTGAGTAGGACAAGGAAAGAGCTGGTTGCTGGTATTAAGGTTGTTTTCACATCTGATAGTCCAGTAGACTCGGTTCGGTTGGGGACCAATATTCATAACATTTTGTTTACATTTGAGCTGTTGCGTTTGCATTCACACTGCACTGTGCAGTCGAGCCAACCTGTTCGAACCAACCTGTTCCCCCAATCGCCTGTGATGGCGCTGCACCAAGAACTACTAAAAGAAACGAACAAAAGCCTCTGAAGAAGACACTTCTTCTTCTTCTCCTTCTGTAAATAAAAACAAAAACGGAGTGGCGTCAAATTTTAGCGGTTTTAGGAGTTCTATTTTGTCATTTTTCAACAATGGACTCAGCATGAGCGGAAGATGAGGCAGAAGTCCATGGAGAATGTTGTTTTTTGCACAAGGCAAGCTGACAGCTCCATATTAGGTAAGAGAAATGCGCGTTTGTTTGCCCTGTGTTGTAGTCCTCTTCCTGCTTGCGGAGCGGTGCCCAGTCTGCTTACATTCACACTGTACTCGAAACGTGCTAAAGTTTTCTTCTACCGGACCAAGACTTAGGTTTTAGACCAGGCCAGAGTTCGCCTTTTTGTTCCGTGACAGAGTTCAATGGCAAGTTCACACCTCCACAAACGAACCGGACTTCCTAGGCAAACGAGCTAGAGTTCGGGACAACGGGGCTTGTGTGAATGTATCCTAAGAAGGCCAAGGCCACATATGCACAGAGGATTGAGGGTCAATTCACCTCACAAGACCCTCGGAGCATGTGGTGGGACATTAAGTGTATAACAGATTATAAAGGCAGGAGCGAACAACGCCTGAAAGACCCATCTCTGCCTGATGCCCTCAAAAAGTTCTATACATGCTTTGAAGACCTGAACAGACCACCCAGCACCAGGCTCACCTCACCACTGGATGAAGAGCATCTCAGCACGACCTCAGCAGAAGTAAGGAGTACCTTCAGGAGGATTAATCCGCACAAGGCAACAGGCCCAGACAACATCCCCGGAAAAGTGTTGAAAGAATGTGCAGATCAGCTCTGCGAGGTGCTGGCAGACATCTTTAACACCTCACTTAACCTGGAGATAATACCCACCTGCCTGAAGACTGCCATCATCATCCCAGTCCCAAAAAGCTCTACAGTGACTGGTCTGAATGACTATCGGCCAGTGGCCCTCACCCCGATAGTCGCGAAATGCTTCGAAAAACTGGTCATGATCCACATGAAAACAACCATCAACATCAACGAGGACCCTCATCAGTATGCATACCGTGAGAACCAATCAACAGAGGATGCCATCTACTCTGTGGTCCACACTGCGCTCAACCACCTGGAGCAGAAGGACTCTTACGTCCGCATGCTCTTTGTGGACTTCGCGTCTGCCTTCAACACCATGATCCCCCAAACCCTGATGGACAAACTATTCACACTAGGACTAAGCCCCTCCATTTGCAACTGGGTAATATACTTCTTAACAAACAGACCACAGTTAGTGAGGATCCACAATTTCTCCTCCTCCACCATAACCCTCAGCACTGGCTCTCCTCAAGGATGTGTGTTGAGCCCCCTCCTGTTTACTCTGCTCACGTATGATTGTGCAGCTACCCATTCAGGCTGTGACATTGTAAAGTTTGCAGACGATACAGCGGTGGTGGGATGCATCACAAACAATGATGAGTCCAGCTACAGGCAGGAAGTGGAACACCTGGTGAGCTGGTGCAAAGAGAATAACCTTCACATCAATATGAAGAAGACAAAGGAGATGACTGTGGACTTCAGAAGGAACAAACACACCTACACCCCCCTGAACATAAGAGGATCTGCAGTGGAAGTGGTCTCTAGCTACAAGCTCTAATTCCTTAGGTGGCTGAGACTAGCTGGTCTGGGAAACTCAGTCCTCACCTCCTTCTACAGGTGTGCAGTGGAGAGCATCCTGTGCTCCAGCATCAACGTGTGGCATGGAGGCTGCACAGCTGCAAAAAGAAAAGCTTTGCAGAGAGTGGTGAAGGCTGCACAGAAGACTGTTGGAGTCAGTCTCCCCACCATCACAGACATTTACACCTCCAGATGCAGGAAGAGAGCCACCTGCATCATGAAGGACCCCACTCATCCGGCACACACACTTTTTGCCCCGCTTCCCTCAGGAAGGAGTTTAAGGAGCATTAAGTGTAGAACCACTAGACTGAATAACAGCTTCTATCCTGAGGCTGTTAAGACGCATGAATCTCTAACCAGAATAATCACTGTGAAAAAAAAATCACATCCTGTTGCTGAAAATCTGTTTCAATGTTGCTGCTGATCTGTTTCATGTTGATGTGTTCATGCGTGCTCATCTGCTCACACAGACTCTTGCTCATGTTCATGCTGCTGTTCGACGTAATGTTTTATGCTATTAGTGCTTAGTGTATTTTTAGTTGATGTTTTTCTTATTTCATATCTTGGATGTTATCATTGTTTTTCTTTTACATTTTATTGTTGGATGTAACTGGGACCCTGTGTACATAATTTCGCTCAAACACATGTACCACATGTGGTGCGAATGACAATAAAGAATCTCTGACTCTGACTCTCTGACTGACCCGGTGTTGCACCATATCCTGTGACCTGCAACAGTGCATACAACATCGCCCCCTACAGTCACAATATATGGTGGTCACAGAATATGATGCAACACCGGTTCACAACGAGCTCAAAACAGTCAGGAAGTTGATTAATTTTCTGTTTCCTTATGGGAGTTGAACCAGAAGATTCATCTTTAGTGAAATATTTCCAGACTATTGATGCATTTCTACCCGTTTGCCAAGACTGGGCCTGCTCTGCGCAATCCATCTGCGTAGAGGAATCCACTTTGTAGCTTCTACTAGTAACTGGTGCCGATTACGTGACACGTGACGTAATGACGTAACTGCGAATACTCGACGTGAAATTTAAAAACTCACGAGATGTCCTAGGAATCGACATGTCGATTACTCGAGTAGTCTGTTAAAGCAATAGTCTTTAATCGTGTCCTGATAAGGACAAGGTGTGAAAAGATCTTTTTTGTAATGCCACTATCCTATCCTCATGGATTTTCCCCTTTTGTATCTAAAAAGTATTCTGAAAAGGGGCTGCGCTCCAGTACCAGCAGCAACGTGAATTCCGCCCATCTGTCTGTATGTATGTATGTATGGATGGACTGTACGAACATAATCTCACTGTATTTCAGTACAATGATAATAAAGCTTATTCTGATTCTAGATCTATACAAACATAATGTGAATCTGTAAAAACTAATCAGAGCTTTAGCACATTCATACACCAATGGGTCACACATCAGTGACAATGAGGGGTTCAGGGTCTTGCCCAGGGACACTTCAGCATGTGACTGCTGGTAGAATCAAACCCCCAACTCTCCCAATGGAGGGTGACTGCTCTAACCACTCAGCCACAGCTGAACTGGAGGACGAGTGGAGAGGCCCAGAATCCACTTATTATCTTTTAGCTTCCATACTGGTCCTTTTACCTTTCATCTGCCATTTTGTTTCTGCTGTTCTCCTTGTTTTAACTTTAAATATTAAAGTTCAACTTCTTTAGCAAACCTCAGCAGTCTTTCAACATTCAACATTCACACTGCATTTTCACCTAAAATGCACTTCCTCTAGTTCTGAAATGATTACACAAACTTCACCTGTGACAAAGTGTTGGAAAAAGTGACAAATTCTGCACTGAATGAGTCTGAATCATGACATCTTCCCAACAGCAATGGATTAGACCACGGAGTAAGCTTCAGATGTACCTGGGCAGCTTCCTCCTGAGTCTGTGGATCCTGGACAGGTACGACGGGCCTCCAGTTATTGGAGAGGGTCCTCGGGATAACTCCCTTGACCTGAATGGCTTTCTTTGCTCTCTGCTCCTTCTTTTTTATTCTCCAGTACTCTCGCTTCCTCCTCAGGAAGTCTTCCTCAGACTCCCCTGGAATTGGTTTTGGAGGAACCATGGTGTTTGTGGACGCCAGCTTGGTGGGGGACCATACCATATTTGTGGGACTCTCAATTTCACCACAAGGCATTCTGACTGGACTAAGAGTGGAATTCTGACTTTGATTGGGGAATTTAATGGATTGCAGACCAATGCTCGACAGTGGGTTTTCTGGGGGATTCAGAGTAGGGAGGGATGGGGCAACGTTGATTTCTGTGCTTCTAGGCATCCACTCTTGGTAACATTGTGGTGATCCATCATCAAAGTTGGTGAAATTTTGAGAAGAGGCAACATTCATATCATCCTCCTCTCTGCCGGTGATTGTCAGTCTAACTTGATTTGTGTCAGCTGACTGTTTAACATCACATGTTTGACCAACAACCAGGACTTCAGGGATGCTGGTGTCTGAGGTTACACATGGGTCAGACAGGTTGGATTGAAATGCTGCTTTGTTTGGACTTACACCTGTAAAAGTATTACCCATCAGGCATGGAGTCTGAAAGACAAAAAACAGAACAAAAGATTGTTCTGAGTTGAAATCATTCCATGCAGAAAGGGAATAGTCACACTATGCACACCTCGGTAGGCCTGTCACAATAACAAATTTTGCTGGGTGATTGTCTCAGAAAATATTGCGATAAACAATATTACTTGAAATAAGAAATGTTTGTTAATTTTTGTGTGTAGTACATTTTTGACCACTGGATGGCAGTATAAAACTGTTTGAATCGAAGGATGGATAGTGAGGGAGCAGCAGCGCTCTTTAAGAAAAATGGGAGAGGCCCCTTGACGTGACATGGGCTGTCTCTCTTCGGTTCTCAAAATGGCGGACGCTCGGTGTGGTTTGAGCTCTTTAGCATAGCATTTTTCACACAAAGATTTTAATTTAAAAAAATCAGTAAACAAGTTCTCAGCTTCTTTTTGCAGAGAAAATTTTTTTTACATGAAGTCACGGGTTTCAACTGTGAATTTTCAAGCTTTGACAAGACTGAGGTCCCCCCGAGGTCGGCCGGTTAGCTTAGCTTGTAGCTTAGCTTCTCAGCTTAGATGCTTTTAACGATCCAAAAACGCTATTTTGGATCGTTAAAACAGATTTTAAAAAGAAAAGAGAAAGGGAAGGGTCAGTGAAGAGCACCGGAGTTGAGCCTTTTGTCATCCAGTGTCTTCAGGATGAAGTAGAAAGAGAGAGACACGAAGAAACGATAAAGCTGATAAATGAAAATGAGGTCAATAATTTTCATTTATCGTGCGATTAACTGATTTATTGTTTATTGCGACAGGCCTACACCTTGCTTTGTTCAACTGCTCAAGTGCCAAATGCCATGCAGAGGTTTGTGATTTGGTGATCAATATTGATTGACAGACAAAACATCAGATATAATTTATTTGATGTTTAGAAAGCCATAAACCCCTTGCAGAAATATTTCAATTCATCAATGAAGATACTTGAATCAGTAAATAAACTGATTTTGTCTATGGCTTCAAGTTCGAATTGATGGAGAACCAAAATTTGACTTTTATCTTGGAATGAACAAGCAAACAAAAATAAACCTGGTCAGATCGTAGACACAACAGGTCTTGAAAGGAAACCTAGGCATTCCTCTCCCCAGTGGCTTTCTCTAGTTGCTCATGGAGGATTTCAAAGTGTTCCCAGAGAGTATATAATCATGCCAGCAGGTTCTGGGTCTGCCCCAGGGTCTCCTCCCAGCACGACATGCTTTAAACCATCGCCAGAGGCTTCCAGGAGGCATCCTCACCAGATGCCAGAACCACCTCAGAGACTCCACACCAATGTCAGAGCTGCTCATCTAATATTTAAGGCTGAGCCCAGCCACCCTACAAAGGATGCTCATATTGGCTGCTTGGATTCTAATTTTATGATGTCATGATCAATATCTCATGTCCAGTATGTGAGGTTGGAACGTAGTGAGCTTTACTTGTCAGCTCAGTTTCCTCTTTACCACAACAGACTGGAGCAACAACCTTATTACCAAGGATGAGGCTGTGAGTTCACATCATAGAGTCATCCTCCAGCAACTGCTCGTTCCCTCCATTAGTGTGTTGCTGTTGGTTTGTGTGTTACAGAGAGCCAATCTATTTTTATTTTTATTCAATTATGGATTCCCAAAAAGTTTTGGTACCCTGGACAAATGAGGTGAGTGTATTCTGTATTTATCGCTAACAATAGGATATCATGCACTTTGATAAGATGATCCCCGCCTACATGAAGGTGGCACTCTGCTCAACGCAACTATGGCCTGAACAGAGTAAGAGCAGGTCAACTGCAGCCAAGCCAGGACTTACAAAACAAAAATGCTATTAGACTTACAAGAACTGACTTTCATTCCAGGTCTTAAGACTTCACACTAACTACTCATCCTGTTGTTTTTTTATGTGCTTTTCATTTCCAGGTCATGGGGGTGCTGGTGTCTGACCCTAGCAGTCACTGTGTGAGAGGCAGGGTGCCTCATATAAAATCTATGAGGTTTTACATGAAAAAATATGTACGGTGCTCACAATTTAATTCATTCATTGGGTAAATATCATGTAAGAATACACAATGGCTTAAAAAAGTATTCATATCCCTTGAACTTTTACATTTTGTCACAGCCTTTACAAATAAAAATCTGACAAATGTGGCATATATTTGTATTCAGCCCCTTTACTCTGATATCCAGAACTCAAAACCAAAGCAGACAGCTGCCTTCAGACTAGAGCTGTCATTTCTAACCCGAACCCGGAGCCCAGTCCCGCCTGACCCGGATTCAGACCGGGCCATAATAATGTGCTTAATATGTGGGTCAGGTCAGTGTTGGGCTTTTTATTGCATCAGGAACATGCACGGCCGATGATCCAATACATGCAAACATGGCTTGCCATAATGCACCTGCTGCACACGGCCATTTGACCGCGTGCTGACCGGCCGGTTGAAAGAGGTAAAAAGTTCAGTTAAGCTTCAGATGGATTATCCTGATGCATGCTCAATAATCCAGGTAGAAAAATCTAAAAAAGTTAAATCTGGTCCTCTGGACAGTCAAAAAAATAAATAAAAATTGTAGAAACGTTTCCGAAAGACTTCTTCAGTCTGAGGTGCTGTATTCAGCTCAGTCTCTTAAATAGCACCTTCTCAGAGTGGATCAACCAGTTTGCTGCTGACAACCAAAACCAGCTGATCACATGCTCAAGAAGGACCATCAGCCTAACAATGGATCATTAGCACACTGATGGCTGTTTACTACTCACAGGGGGCTGAGTGATACTAACAATAACAACATTGCAAGAGGGGGACAGTTGAACCCGGAGGCCTCCACCCCTGTTTAATGATAGGCTGTTTCTTTTCACAAAGGAGGCCATCTTTGTGAAAAGAAACCGTCCATGCAGTCATAAGACTGAGCTGAATACAGCACCTCAGACTGAGGAAGTCTTTCGGATGAAAGGCGAAACGTTTCTACAATATTTTTGTTTTGGGTTTTTTCGACTGTCCAGAGGACCAGATTTAACTTTTTTAGACTTCAGATGGACTACTGCCAGCGATCCATCAGCCCAAATGGATGTTCATTCAGCCGCTGCACTCAGCGGACGCACGCAGCCGAGACCCAAACAGGTGAGATCACAAAATATCCGACATGTCAGAGCAGGGTTCAATGCAGGAAGAAGCAGGGGAAGCATTGAATGCACTTTGACGGCTCCTCAGCTCTGATTTTCTGCCCCCTTTACTCAGCCACATGTGTCCGCCAACCGTTAATAATAGTCCGTGGTATAAGCAGTCAAAACTTAATTAAAAATGTCAGGTGTTTTTCCGGGTTCAGACCTGTAATTAACTGTTAATTTGTCAGATCGGGTGGTGTTCAGAGATGATGGCTACAGGCTGGGGCCGGGTCGGTTTGGATTATTTGGACCCGAGTGCAACTCTACGACCAGCTGAGTGTAACTTAACCTCAGTATAAATCCAGCTGTTCTGCGAGTCTCAGTGGTTTCTTAGTGACAAACAGCATCATGAAAACCAAGGCACAACAGAAGAGTCAGGATAAATTTGAGTGAGATTAAGTTTAACGCAGGTACAGGTTATAAAACAAAAGATGAAAGACTACGGCACAACTGCAGACCTTCAAGAATATGGCCATCCACCTAAGCTGACGGGCCGGGAAGAGAGAGCGTTAAGTTGACACACGAGGCCCCGTGGAAACTCTGGAGGTGCTGCAGAGATCCACAACTCAAGTGGGTCAGTCACCTGCACAGGAAAACTATAAGTCACTATTAGAGTGAAAAGAATAAATCCACTGTTGAAAGAATCAGAAATCCTGTTTGCAGTTTGACACGAGTCATGTAGGAACAAAAGAAGCCGCTCTGCTCAGATCAGACCAAACTAACGCTGCACATCACCCTGAACACACCATCCTCACTGTGAAACATGGTGGAGGCAGCGTCATGCTGTGAGGGAAGCTGTATAGAGCTGATGGGAAGATGGATGGAGCTGAATATAGGACGAGATCCATCCAGATCTATAATGAAATGGGTCAGATGTGGTCCAGTCACAGTGCAGAACTAAATCCAACAACTGAGACTCAGGCAAGACCTGAAGGCTACCGTTAACAGACACGATCCATCCAATCTGTCTTATGTACAAAGAAGAATGTGCTACAATCAGAACTGAATTCAGTTTCAAATCTGGTGGAGACAAACCCCAACAGACCTGCAGCTAAAGGTGGTTGGTTGTACATAGACTCAGGACAGGCTGAGAAAAATGAAGCCACATTTAGCAGAGTTTTTTTTTGCATTTCTTTTATATAATTTTCGTTTTATCTGAAATTTTTAGCTACATCGAGTTGGTTTCATACTTCATACTTGGAAGTTTGTGGTTGTAATGTGACAAAATGTTAAAAAGTTCAAGTTGTATGAAGACTTTTAAGGCATTTCAGGTGTTTTACTTTAAAACTACTGCTGTGTGTTGAAAGAAAAAAAAGATTGGTTTCTTTTTAAGTTAAAAAAATATTGCTACCTGGTGGCTTACTAAACAAACTTAGATTACCTGGTCTTTTAAATCCAGGACACGCCAAACAAATAGTGGAGCAGAGGGTAGCTGGGATTCAGATAAATGATGTCCAGCAGATTCAGAAAAATCTATTCAATATAATAATCTTATCATCTAAAATATTCTGTACATTGCAGCACCAATGATTAGCAACTGAAAATATGGATTACCAGTAAAGTTAAAAACTGTTGTCGTGTTCCCTCACCTCAATGTTTGTTGGGAACAGCTGGCAACAGCTGCTCTCTCCATGCTGCTCCTTCTGCTGGGCTCGTAAGCGAGCCCTCTGCTGCCTCTTCATCAGCTTCCAGTACTCCCTCTTCTTCTGCAGACTTGTCAGACCGCTGTGCCCTGCAACCACATGGCAGGACCTTGGTGTTGACACCATGTTGTTGTTCTGGTACTGTTCCGGTACTCCACTCTGTTGTTCGCAGAACTGTTGCTGTGGTTCTGAATGCTCGGGGGATAAATCTGGGATGTGATGGAGCTTTGGTGGTTCTGAGGAGCAGTAGTTTTGATGGGTTGTTTCTTTGCTACAAAATCTCCGGGTTTTGGGTGGTGAAGCAGGGTTGTTGGACGCTTCCAAAGACAGATCCAGTGTAAAGTTAGGAGGGGTCTGGGATGAGAGCTCACCAGTGGAATGTTCCACCTCGCTGCAGGTAGGATGAGGGGGAAGAGTGTCAATAATCTTGGGTGAGTTGTTGAGGCTGGAGCTTAATGTCTCTTTCTGTTCCGATACATCACTACCAGGCTCCCAGCGTTTTATCTGCAACGTGATATCAGGAGGTACGAGTGATGCATCGCTCTTTTCAGGAAAAAGTTCTGATAAATCAGGCTTTATATCTAGTTCCGAAGTATTAGTACTTGCCTCTTTAGTTTGACATTCTGTAACCGTGCTAAGCGACTCCTCCAGGAGTTTCTTCATCGAAGCCACAGCTAGCAGGGTGGTAGCCTGGCTGTCTGTGCTCAGAGATGAGTCGGACTCTGGCTGTTGCGCTGGAGGTGCAGTTGTGAAAGTTGGGGGTTTGATATATGGACAGACGCCTTGTTGTGGTGGAGAATTTAGGTCAGCTTCTGATAGAGCACTGCTTTCTTGTTTGATCTCATTTACATGTGGCATATCAGGTACTGTGGTGGTGGTGTGGTTGAGATCTTCCGCATTTCCTGTACATTTTCGACGACTTCTGTTCATTTGCACAGTGGTTGCCAGTTCTTGCCTCTGAACCTTCCTCCTCAGTAAGGCTGAACTAGTTCTTGCTTGTAAAACACTGAGCTTGAGTCGAACAGCCCGAGCCGCTCGCTGTTCACGTTTCTTTATCCTCCAGTACTCCCTTTTCTTTGCCATTCTCTCTTCTTCCGTCAGCCCCTGATCTTGAGATGCCAGAAGTGGTACGTGACTTGAAACTGCCATTTTCATGACACACCCATTGTAGTCTGATTCTGGTTTTGATTCTGCATTTTGAAAAGATTTGGTGGCTAATTGTGTACTTTCAACAGTGGGGGTGTTAATTTGAGACTGTGGTTTGATTAGAAGTAATCTTGGGGTTTTGTTGTCAGTGAGAGGAAACGAGTGATGTGGAGGCCGAAGCTGGTTCACCGTGATGGGATCGACACCTCTTGTCTTCATATTAGTTCTATGATGCTCTTGCATTACGGTGATAGCCTTTGAAAAGCCAACTGTGTTTTGACTCTTCAGACCTTTGGGGATGTTAGCCGTCAGTGTTCCATCTTCTTTGATGAACCCTCCAATGGTCTCGGAGGCAGGATTAAGATCACTTCCTGTTGCCTGAGCTAGTGCTCTTGTCTTTCTCATCTCTGCAAGGATTTGCTGGTAACGTGTCACTCTTCGTATCAGCGCGTCTTTTTCCCTCACCCTAGTTTTCATCTCGAATGACAGCTTAGCTCGCTGTTCACGCTTTTTAACCCGCCAGTACTCTCGACGCTTGGCTATTATCTGTTCTGGTGTGTCATTTGGATCAATTTTAGGCATACCCATGGTAGGAAATAATGAAGCTATTGTGGGAGGTCTGTATCTTAAATTTCTCTGATTCATAAAATTCTTCTGCGCATCAATAAACCTTTGTCTAGGTGTTTTGCATCGAGCAATACCCCGGGGAACACAAGGATTCACAAAACTAAGGTTCCTCTGTGGTTCTACTGGCTTTTTGACAGAATTAACATCAAATGCTGTAACGGATGTCTGCGCTATTCTGTTCTTGTGATAATTTTGTGCTTTTACCTGGTTTATTTGCAAGTTAGTTCCAGCTACAGAGGCTAACCCATCTTGCAGTTTTGTAGTCTCCTGTCTGATGGTTAGGTACGGCACTTTAACCCTAACAGCACACTGTTTCTGACTTGCTGCTCTCAAAACCAGCTGGGATGGAAGAACCGAGCTGGCCACAAGTCCCATTTTGTGCGCTGTTAGCTTCTGGGACATCATGTCTCTGTTTTGTATTCTTTCTTTGACTTTAGCTAGTTTTGCTCTCTGCTCCCGTTTTTTGATTCGCCAGTGCTCTCTGCGCTTGGCTGCTTTCTCTTCTTCGGACTCCAGAGAAAGTTGCACACTACCAACACCTTTAGCCTTTCGCTCAGTGATCAAGGCACTCTTTGTTCCACTTTCAGGTCCTGTTGTTTTGCCTTTTGTTTTACTGGAAACAGGACTGTGTGAAGTTGTATCTGTCGCCACCTCTGATGGTAAGGCCGTAAGCTGAATGGGTAATAGAATCTGGTCCTTGAGTTGGGTTTTGGAGTCTAATTTGCTCTGCATAGATGCACATGGCTGAGGTTCTGTTTTAATAGAGCTGCCATCTGTAATTTTAGTCAGTCTGACTACAGGCACTGATGAACCAATGCTTGGTCTGGTTCTACTAGATGTAAGTGAAGTAGCCACACTGTTAGCACTCATCCTTGTTTGGCATTTCATTAAGACTGCACCCTCCTTATCTGTTGGAGCTACAACAGAACATGATGTTGGCTGTGAGTTACACAAGACTGTGTTGTTGTTTGTCTCTGGCCAGTCTTCCCTCCGACTGGTAGCAGTGTCAGTTGACCTGGTCTCAACTGTGTTTTCAGTCTTTGATGGACAATTGTACAAGTCATCATTACTTCGAAAAGATGGGGACAATGCAGAGTCTGATAAACTGGTGTTCACCCCTGCAGAAACATAAAGATACGGGATCTTTTCCTTCCGTCTGTCCTGTCTTGGCTTTTGTATCTGCTCTGACAGTCGTGCCCTCTGCTCTCGTTTCTTGTTTCTCCAGTATTCTCTCTTTTGGGCAAGAGTGGCGTCATCATACTCAGAGGCTGGTCGGTAGCGTTGGAACGTTGGATGACCTTTACCTTTAGCAGCTGGCATGCTGTTACAAGCTTGGAAAGCTGATCAGTTCTCATTTAATAACGATGGTGTCTTTTTGTCACATTGAATCAGGACAGCCCTTCAGTTTAGACTCAGTAGGGTTACCAACATTTTTGTGTCAGTCTTCTTTAGGGTGCTGTTGAGAAGTTCACATCCTAGTTGTACTCAGGACTCCTGAGAAAAACAAAATAACTTTTAGTTAGATCTTTCTAATTAACTTTGCATAAAAAACAAATATTTGAAATTAATGTAAAAACATACAGATCATACAAATGGGTCTACGATTTGTCCTAAGAAATACAGTATATTTGTCTTCCGATGAAGATGACAACATTGATTAAAAGAAAATTGACACAATCCAAGTTCACTGAAGATGGTTTGCTCCTCCCATTGTCTGCGGTGCACTTGCACAACTGAATTATTTAAACAAGACACTACTATGAAGGGTTGCAATGCTATTCAATAATGACAAATATTAATATTTTCTTTTTTCTTCTTCTTCTTTCAGATGATTCCCCCTTTAGGGGTCAAGCAAGCTAACATGCACAAAGACTTGGCAATTCTTTTTACAATGGATGCCTTTCCTGATACAACCACAGACCACCAAGATAATAAAGCCCGCATGTGTGAAACAAAGGGCTATCATCTAGGGCACCCGGGGGAGCAGATGGCATTGCTTAAGGGCCCAGGGTGGGGCAAATGAGGGTTGAGGCAGGTATGGGTACTTTACTTTTCTCTACCACATTTTGATGCAACTGTCAGGGTATTCAAACCAATGACCTTTCAATCAAAGGCTTGCCTTTTCTAATCTCTGGAACACCACTCCCCCAATGATAAATATAGGTGGAAAACATTACATCACAGCAAGTTCACCCTGAAATCAGACATGCAGCTGGGGCAGCTGTGTCTGAGTGGTTAGAACAGTCATCCTCCAGAGGGAGAGTTGGGGGTTCAATTCCATCAGCAATCACATGTTGAAGTGTCCCTGAGCAAGACAATGCTCAGGGACACTACAAACCGTCCTGAACCCCTCATTGCCTCTGATGTGTGTCCCATCAGTGTATGAATGTAATAAAGCTCTGATTATTCTTTGTGCGTTTGTGTTAATCTCTACAGATTCAAATTATCTTTGTAGATATGTAGTGGTGTGCTATATGAATGTGTGTGCTGGAGGTAAATGAGGGCACAGATTGTGTTGTAAAGAGCTTTGAGTATCTTGATTAGATAGAAAGGTGCTATATAAATACAGTGCATTTATCATTCCATTTAAATGCCAATCTTCAGAAAGACCCAAAAATTATTGTCCATCTCAGTCTCTGAAAAACCTCTGTTAGAATGTTAAACTGTAAACATTATATTATTACACATCAATCAAGAAGAACTCAAGAAAATGTCTGATAATAATGTTGTTACTGCTCTCAGGGATTCAGCCCAACCCTGGACCCCCCACTAATTACAGCACACCAAATGACTAAAAAATTGTCAGGACTTCATTTTCTGCATGCAAACGCATGTAGCCTTCTGAGAAAACTTAATGTCTTGAAAATTCTGATCAGTTCTTCTGGGGCAGATGTAATCTTCATCTCTGAAAGCTGGCTCAGCAAATCTGTACTGAATAATGACCTGGCAATCAATGGATTTAACATCTATCGCTGTGATCGTCAAAAAAAAAAAGGGGGGGGGGGGGGTGGAGTCGCTATTTACATCAGAGATTCTCTGGTTGCTAGTCTTGTGTTTGCTAAAACAATTCCAAACCAGTTTGATGCCTTAGCTGTAAACATCACTTTGAATGGAGGACAGATCTTATCTGTAGTGGGTTGTTATCATCCCCCCTCAGCAACACCTGAGGCTCTGTCCTCCCTGATAAAATTCTTTGGACATTTAAAATTCAAAGATATTTTTTTGGCAGGAGATTGACTAGGATAAGTCGAACCCCTCTGTGATAAAATCAAGGAATGTTGCCTGTCACTCAGTCTGACCCAACTCATTGACTCTCCCACTACATCAAACAAAAACCGTCCTGAAAAATCTTCCATCTTAGACCTGTTTCTTACAAATATGCCTCACAAATTCCCTGGTACAGGTGTATTCGCTGACATTTTGAGTGATCATTGTGTAATAGCAACTCTCAGAGATATTAAATTTCCACCTTCTAAGCCCAGATTAATTCAAAGAATGGATTTGAAAGGTTTTTGTGAACAGTCATTCCTTTGGGATCTATCTCACTTTAACTGGCATTGCATTCTATTAACTGACAATGTGAACACCGCTTGGAACTATTTTCATAATAGTTTCATTTATTTTGTGAACAAACATGCTCCTTTTCGTCAGTTCAGAATAAAGGGATGAGACAGCCCCTGGTTTACTCCAGAGCTAGCTGACCTCCTGCACATGAGAGATCATCTTTGGGCCGCAGCAAGAAAATCTGACTCAGACACTGATTTGTTGAGTTTTTGGCAGATGAGGAATAAATGCACAACGGCCACCCAAAGCAGCAAAACGTAACTTTCTTATCTCAGACCTCCAAAAATCTAAATGACCCTAAAAGATTCTGGAAAACCATCAAATCTCTCTCAGGCACCCCCCAATCATCTGACCTCCCATCACAGCTTCTTGTTAACTCTGTTCCTGTGTCAAAATAAGCACGAGATCCTGAACTGCTTCAACAAACATTTTGTTGCTTCTAGTTCTTTATTTGACACAGTCACTAATGGAAAATCAGCCACTTCACTTAATAATCAAACTTTTACAAATCAAATCCCTCCTATAAGTCAATCCTCAGTTAATCCCACCTTTTCTGTTTCTCCGTTCTCTGTTAGGTGAGGTAAATAAATTGTTAAAAGGTCTTGATCCTAAAAAATCTGCAGGATCAGATGAACTTCCACCTTATTACTTAAGGCTGGCCGCTCATATCTTCACAGTCCTTGTGACCCACATCTTCAATCTCTCCATAAGACAAAACTCCATCCCAGACACTTGGAAAACAGCCTTTGTTCTTCCTTTGCTGAAGGGAGGTGACCCCACCTCACTGAACAACTATCGACCAATCTCTAAACTCTGCATTTTAGCCAAGGTTCTAGAAAAACTAATAAACTCTCAAATCAAAAATTACCTGGACTCATTTAACATCTTACCTCTCCATTAATCTGGTTACAGGAAACAACACAGCACAACCACTGCTTCACTGAAGGTTCTTAATGACGTTGTTGAAGCACTGGATGCTAAGGATTATTGTGCTGCACTTTTCTTAGACCTGTCTAAAGCTTTTGACACTGTGGATCATAACATCTTGTGTCATAATCTCTCAGAAATCGGTTTCTCAGAACACACCATTGGTTGGTTCTCTAACTATCTCTCAGATCTGAGGCAATGTGTTCAACATAATGGTACTTCCTCCAGCTATTTAACAGTCAACAATTGTATACCACAAGGCTCAGTCTTAGGACCCACCCTCTTTACAATCTACATAGGTAATGTAAGTCAGAGCATCCTTGACGCATCCATACATTTCTATGCTGATGACAGTTGTTTACTGTCAAGCTAAAACAGTTGAAAAGGCTTTCCAGCTTTTGCAATCCGCCTTTGACATCATCCAGTCAGATTTGTTCCATCTCAAACTTGTCTTAAAGGCCGATAAAACCAAAGCGATGCTTTTTTCAAATAGGAAGTCGGTCCCAGCAGTTCTTCCTCCAATTTTATCCTCAAATGGTGTCACCTTTGTGTTCGTTGATTCCTATAAATATTTGGGTATCTTAGTCAACTCGCATCTCTCTTTTAAGCTCCACATGTAAAACCTATAAGAAACTGAAAGTTAAACTGTTTTTTTTTTTTTTTTTTCAGAAACAGATCCTGTCTAATTCTGAATGCTATGAAATGCCTTGTATTTGTGACCTTCCTTCCCTCCATTGATTATGGTGACATTATTTACATGAACGCTCCTACAAGAACCCTGCAGATGTTGGATGTTGTCTATCATGGTGCACTAAGATTCATAACTGGCTGTGATTATCGCACCCACCACTGCACCCTGTATTCACTGGTTAACTGGACATCATTAACTTCACAAAGACTCTCTCGCTGGTACATTTTCATCTTTAAATCACTTCTTGGTCTGCTGCCTTCATACATCTCCTCCTACATGTCTCTGCATGAGTGCAGCTACAGCGTGCCCTCTCAGGACATTATTACATGCAGTGTTCCCTCAGTGAGGACTGAACTTGATAAAAGGGCCTTCTCCTACTCGGCTCCTGTTTCCTGGAATATCTTGCAATAAGATATGAAGCTCTTGACCTTAACCTCTCTAAGTGGCTTTAAGAATCTGTTGGACTCCTGGCAAAAACCAATGCAGACATGTTCATGTTTTTAGTTTTATACATTCACCTTATAATCTAGCTGTTTTAGCAACTTTTTTGGCCAGCTTCTTGTAATTTGTAAAAAAAAAAAACCTTGGGCATGCCCCCGCACCGGAGGCGGGGGCATGCCAAAGACACCATCTTAGCACCACCATAACTGGTTTGTTCCACTTTGGAGTAAGCTGTTGGGGGAAGAATCAGTTTTGTGTTGTGTGTTTCCTTGACTGATGAAGCCTTCTGGATGGAAGGTGAAACGTTTCAGCACAAAAAAAAGAAAGAAACTGTCCAGATGACCTGACTGAAAATTGTTGGGTTCACTGAGATTTTTTTTCTTTTTACGTTGATACCTGTCTGCGTTTGTGATAAAGATAACGGACAGACAGAAAGTCAGAAACAGGTTGTAGAGAATAGGATAAACTACAAGTGACCTATGTACACCAAGATGTATGGAAGTTGGAGTGTGCTCAATTAAATCTGAAGACTGCTCCACTGTGTCTGGCCTCACTCTCTGATCAGAGTGTCTGTGTGGATGAGGTGTTCCTGCAAATCCCACTAAAATAGCACAGTCCTAGCTATTCACCACAGAACCCGTCCAGAGGACCAGACTTAACTCTTTCAGATTTTTCTACCTCGATTATTGAGCATGCATCAAGATATGTAGACCAGATGATTTGAGAGTCAAATGTGAGGCCATCACACAGCTGATGTCAATCTACAATTGGGTTAGGAAACGTGACAATAACCCCAAACACATTTACAAATGTAGAACAAAATACTTCATCCTTGCTGAAATACTGCAGTAGAAACAAAGAGCTGTGCATT